AGTAGAGACAGGGCTTCATCATGTTGGTCAGGCTGGAAACTTGGGTTACTGTTTTTTTGAGACGGAGTCTTGCTCTGTCGCTCAGGCTGGAGCACAATGGCGTGCTCTCGGCTCACCGCAACCTCCGCCTCCCTGGTTCAAGCAATTCTCCTGCCTCAGCCTCCCTAGTAGCTGGGATTACAGGCGCGTCGCACCAAGCCCGGCTAATCTTTGTATAGTTAGTAGAGAAGGGGTTTCACCATGTTGGTCAGGCTGGTCTCTAACTCCTGACCTGCCCGCCTCGGGTTCCCAAAATGCTGGGATTACAGGCTTGAGGCACTGAGCCCAGCCTGGTTTTTGTTTTTGAGGTGTCTCACTCTGTCGCCCAGGCTGGAGTGCAGTGGCACGATCTCGGCTCACTGCAACCTCCATCTCCTGGGTTCAAGCGGTTCTCCTGCCTCAGCCCCTCAAGTAGCGGGGATATCAGGCGCCCGCCACCACACGTCTAATTTTTGTATTTTTCAGCACAGGTGGGGTTTCACCATCTTGGCCAGGCTGGTCTTGAACTTCTGACTTAGTGATCCATCCACTTCGGCCTCCCAAAGTGCTGGGATTACAGGCGTGAGCCACCACGCCCAGCCCCTTGTCTTACTTTTCTAAGAAACAGATTAATACCGATCTCACTAGTAGCATTGTTAAGACCGAATAAGATGGCGAATAGCTTTAAAGCATCTAATCACAGTATCCCCACATGTAGTACTCACTGAGCAAATCAGCCAGGAGTGGACGAAAAGCACTGCGCGCATTAAACCAGCCAGATTTGGAGTCTGGGCAGGGCCTAAGAGGATGGCATCAGCGGATTGGGCCAGCTAAAGGGGGCGGGTCCAAAGGGAGGAGCCAGACGTTTCCCGCTACGACCAGAGCTTTGAATCAAGAGCGGTAGCTTCAGCTGTAGCCAATCCTAGAACAAACTGTTCTTGCGTCAGTTGTTGCCGAGGCCCAGATGTCATCCAGATCAGTTGTAGCAGCTGCTGTTGTACTCGTCCTCGCTCTTGAGTGTCCATCCGTTACGACTGAGAGGACTGACAGAAAGTCTAAGTCACCTTACTCAGTATCCAGGCCGGAAGGAGACTTTCGGCTACTCGCCCTACACATGCAGAGCAGCACTGGCTTCCTTTTCTGTGGATGCTGCAGGGGCTGCCTGGCAGGAGTTACACTGTCAAGATTCCAGTTCTTACGCGTCTTGCTGGAGAAGCAGGAAGTTGCTGTTTATCGGAGAAGGCGGGCTAGGGAGGGCAACAACCCCGCGGATCCATCTGGAGAGGGCAGGAGGCGCCCTTGGATAGTGGGAGTCCGGGTTGGGGGCGGGGGTATTGAGTCCTGGCCCTTTAAACCCGGGGGGGATGGGGGAGGAAGATCCGGAAGCGGATGGGCGGGGCCAAGGGCCATCGTATATAAGAGGGCCTAGCCGCGCGGGGTCTCCAATCTGCCATTTTCTGTCCCTGAGTAAGTCCTTGGCGTCCCGAATTGCCTGTTTTCTCACAGGCTCTATTCCGTTCGCTGGTTCGCCACCTCAGGGGAACGATGGCCACAGAGTCCACAGCCGCTGCCGCCGTCGCCGCGGAGCTGGTTTCTGCCGACAAGTAAGCGGGACTGTGGAAAGCTTTAGGCACTGGCCAGTCCGCGGGGAGGGCTAATGGACGGGGGCTCCGGGAAAGGGATAGACCTGTGGGCGGGAGTACTTGCCTTCCCCGGAGCAACTGTCTGTTCGGGGAGGCCTGGTCACTGGAGCAATTCTCTTGCTGAGAGTCTAGCGCTTCAGTGGTAACGACGGTCGGCTGGCGCCCCTTGCCCCGCTTTTCACGGCCGCCATCTTGCCGGGGGCAGCGGCGGCTGTATCCATCGCCTGCCCCTCTCTTTCCTCCTCGGTCCCGGGGCGGTTGGCCGGGAGGCGGGGTTGTGGCTCGCGGGTTGGCCCTCAACGCCCCTTCTGTCCCCAGCTTGTGCCTCGGGTAGAATTCCTGGATAACCTGGGAATAGAACCAACGGAGATTTGGCGCCAAAAGAAAAAAAAACCCTGCACGAGGAAGGAGGCTGAACCTTAGGGGTCGGGATGGGCGGAGTCTTGCTGTGGGCGGCGTTTTGCGCGCGTGCGTTCGCTTCCCTCGCTGGCTCCGGAGCAGGGGGCGGGGCCTCGAGGAGGCGGGAAAACTCCATTGTTCGGGGCCGCAGCAGCTCCAGCAGGATCTTTGGACTGCCTTGGTGGGGCCAGCGAGGCTAGTTCTCCCCACGCCTCGCTCACTTATTGTGCTGGGGGATAGTTATAGCTCCCTCCTACTCAGTGAGCCCCTGCCTGTGGTAGGGAGGATTGTAGTTCTTTATAGTTTGGAGGTGTTGCCTGTTTTGGGGGAATGTTATCCGGACGCAAAGCGTCTTCAGGAAGCGCTGTCTGGAGCTCTCACCAGCAGTAGAATGCACGAAGTGGAGAAAAACTGGAGGGAAATAAGATAGGATTGCTTTGAAAGTGGCACAGTGCTATTCAGGCTCATCTATTTTTTGAACAGTGGAGGGAAACACTACGTGAGTTCAAGGAAACAGGTGCTGTTTTCCATAGAGTAGGTCTCATTTCCCATTCTTGCCTTATCTTTTTGGGGATCTGGTTCTATTTTTTTTCTCTAATGTGCACTTTAGAGGTTAGCTTCCTTCCCTGTAAAAGGAATGGTTGTTGTGAAGTTTTCTAAATTAATATTCTGTAGGCTTACACTGACATGACTATGTCTTAGTATATTTATAGTTACTAGAGATTTGCTTATGTCTCCGCTTACCCCTTTTTGTTTTCTCTGCCGTCTTGTAGAGCAGTGGTTCTCAAGTCACCCTGAGAATCACTTGGCAACTCATGGGAAATACAATTTTAATTTCAAACTTACATAACCTGCCTATTTCCCCATTGATTCGATAGGAGCAGTATAGATTGGGGTTGGGAGTCGTGCTACAGCTATTATAAAAAAAAAAGCTCCTTTTTATTATATTCCCTAGACAACTCTAGCATTCAGTATTTCACTGATAGGTGTCTGTTTTTGGAGACAGGGTCTGGCTCTCCAGGCTAGAGTGCAGTGGTGGGATCATAGCTCACTGCAACCTCAGACTCCAGTGCTCAAGCGATCCTCCTGAGTAGCTGGGACTGCAGTCGTGTGCCACCACGCCTGGCTAATTTTTTGTAGATACAGGGTCTTGATGTTGCCCAGGCTGGTCTCGGACTCTTGGGCTCAAGTGATCCTCCTGCCTTGGCCTCCCAAAGTGTTGGGGCTACAGGTGTCAGCCACTGCACAGGGCCAGGTGTTTAATCTCTTGCAGGTCCTCTGTGTCTATCTAGCCAGAGTTAGGTCATTAGTGAACTTAGTCTCAGCTTCCTGGCAGGTTATATGTAGAGAAGGTTTATGTATATGTGGCTAGGAGAAAACAAACCATTTAAGTAGTTCCTCACACCATAAATTGAAAGCTAAAACTGAGCAATTATATGTGCTGGGTGTGTATGTGTGGTAGGGTGCAGGGTCTCTTTCACCCAGGCCGAAGTGCAGTGATGCCACCTCAGCCCACTGCAAGCTCTACCTCCTGGGCTCAAGTGATTCTCCTGCCTCAGCCTCCTGAGTAGCTAGGACTACAGGCACCCGGTACAAGGCCCAGCTGATTTTTTGTATTTATTTTGTAGAGATGGGTTTCACCATGTTGCCTAAGCTGGTTTCCAACTCCCAGGCTCAAAGGATCTACCTGCTTGGGCCTCTCAAAGTGCTGATATTACTCATGTAAGCTACAAAGCCCATCCAGTATTTTCATTTTCATTCCCTCATTACCCCATCTAATTAGTGTGAGAGAACAAGTTTATAAGGTCCTCATGTTTAAGGATAGGATAAAGAAAATGGTGTGAATTTAGATTTTAGGTAGGAATGTACATTATAATTTGAGGATAACCGTTGTAAGAATAAATATAACTTCTAAACCAGTAGAAAGAAAAATATGGAATGAGAAACCTCAGTTCAGGTTTTTTAAATTTAGGAGATGGGGATCTTGCTATGTTGCCCAGGCTGAATTCACAACTCTTAGACTCAATCCTTCCACCTCAGCCTTCTGGGTAGCTGGGACTACAGGTGTGCATCACCTCACCTGGCTTGGAATTGGCTTTGATACCAGCTTCATTGCTTCAGTAGTCATACTGGACCACAATTCTGTAAAAAGTCTTAGGTTGGCTTTTGCCACCTCATGCCATTAAAACAGTATTGTTTAAGGTAATGCATATCTAAATGCTAAAGTAATCCTGTCATTCTTAGCTTTCAAACTAGTACTTAGGTTTTTTGTTTGTTTGTTTTTTGAGAGAGAGTTTTGTTACCCAGGCTGGAGTGCAGTGGAACAATCTCTGCTCACTGCAACCTCTGCCTCCCAGGTTCAAACGATTATCCTGCCTCAGCCTCCCAAGTAAATGGGACTGCAGGTGTGTACCACCACGCCTGACTAATTTTTTGTGTTTTTAGTAGAGAAGGGGTTTTGCCTTGTTGGCCAGTCTGGTTGCAAACATCTGACCTCAGGTGATCTACCCTCTTCAGCCTCCTAAAGTGCTGGGATTACAAGCGTGAGCCACTGTGCCTGGCCACCACTTTTAAAAACAGTTGTCCACTGGGTGCAGTGGCTCATGCCTTTAGTCCCAGCACACTTTGGGAGGCTGAGGTGGGCAGATCACTTAAACCCAGGAGTTTGAGACCAGCCTGGGCAACATGGAAAAACCCTGCCTCTACATAAAAAATAAAAGTTAGCCAGGTGTGGTGGCACATGCCTGTAATCCTAGCTTTTTGGAAGGCTGAAGTGGGAGGATCATTCGAGCCTGGGAGGTTGAGGCTGCTGTTAGCTATGATGGTGCCATTGCACTTAAGCCTGGGCAATAGAGCAAGACCCTGTCTCACAACAAACAAACGAAAACCCAGCAGTGACATAGCACCTCATACTTATTATGATGACTATAATTAAAAAACAAGGCTGGGCGCAGTGGCTCATGCCTGTAATTCCAGCACTTTGGGAGGCCGAAGCAGGTGGATCATGAGGTCAGGAGATTCAGACCATCCTGGCCAACATAGTGAAACCCCTTCTCTACTAAAAATACAAAAAAATTAGCTGGGTATGGTAGCACACACCTATAGTCCCAGCTACTTGGGAGTCTGAGGCAGGAGAATTGCTTGAGCCCAGGAGGCAGAGATTACAGTGATCTGAGATCACGCCACTGCGCTGCAGCCTGGGTAACAGTGTGAGACTCTATCTCAAAAAAATCCAAAGAAAACAAAAAACAAGTGTTGGCAAGACTATGGAGAAATTTGAGCCCTTGGGACACTGTTGGTGAGATAGTAAAGTAGTGCTCACAGAGTGAGACCCTGTCAAAAAAAAAAAAAAAAAAAGGACAGTATTCTAGGATTCCACACAGGAGGTGTGGAAAGATTCAACATAGAATCAAGTTAGACTCATTGAAACAAAGTAGAATAGTGGTTACCAGAAGCTGGGGATAAAGAGGGGAAAGGAAGTTATTTAATTGGTATAAAGTTGAGATTTGCAAGATTAAAGGGTTCTGAAGATCTGTTTTATCGCAAAGTGAATACACCTAACTGTACTGAACTGTACACTTAAGATGGTAAATTTTATATGTTCTTTCCCACATACGAAAAAGTCAAAGCCATAGGATGAACAAAAGTTTGCCTTTTCAAATGAAAGAAACACTTTTCCTTATGGAAAAAAATGTAGATCACTGTTTGGCATCATTCATAATTATTTATAGTCCTCTTAACCTTTAATTTGAACTAACATAGTTAAGTTTAAAACTTGGAGCTACATCATCACACTGGTCATTAGAGAAATACAAATCAAAACCACATTGACATACCATCTCATACCAGTTAGAATGGCAATCATTAAAAAATCTGGAGACAACAGATGCTGGAGAGGATGTGGAGAAATAGGAACATTTTTACACTGTTGGTGGGAGTGTAAATTAGTTCAACCATTGTAGAAGACAGTGTGGCGATTCCTCAAGGACCTAGACATAGAAATTTTCATTTGACCCAGCAATCCCATTACTGGGTATATATCCAAAAGATTATAAATCGTTCTACTATAAGGACACATGCACACGAATGTTCATTGTAGCACAGTTCACAATAGCAAACACCTGGAACCAACCCAAATGCCCATCAATGGTAGACTGGACAGGGAAAATGTGGCACATATACACCATGAAATATTATGCAGCCATCCAAAACAATGAGTTTGTGTCCTTTGTAGGGACATGGATGAACCTGGAAACCATCATCCTCAGCAAACTGACACAAGAACAGAAAATCAAACACCGCATGTTCTCACTCATAGGCAGGTGTTGAATAATGAGAACACATGGACACAGGAAGGGGAGCATCACACACTGGGGTCTGTCAGGGGGAAATAGGGGAGGGACAGCAGGGGGTGGGGAGTTGGGGAGAGATAGCATGGGGAGAAATGCCAGACATAGGTGAAGGGGAGGAAGGCAGCAAATCACGCTGCCATGTGTGTACCTATGCAACAATCTTGCATGTTCTTCACATTTACCCCAAAACTTAAAATGCAA